TGCCCAAAACCATCTAACGTGACGAGCTCTGATACCAATTATAGAATTTAGAGCTCTAATACCATGCTGACTTTTAGAAATTGCACGGAAGCATGGTTTTGATCTCAATGATAATTTGTGGTTTGAATGTGTGCAAGTGCATGTGTGTAGGATAGGCGAAGCATTATTGGATTTATTACGATGCTAATCAGATAAGGCATAGATTTCTCTCTCTCTCTCGAGACCTTTCTCTGAACAAGCTCGGCCAACATGGGACCAATTGTGTTGGGCTGTACCGCGCTTGGGCCAGCATAACCCAATGACCATTGCTAAGTTGTAAGTACATCAATCTCAAAAGAATAGACTATAGTACATATATTAAAAACATCGAAATCATTAATCATGTAGATCTCATCACGGAATTCAAACTATCAATAGCGATTTAATGAACTTGGTCCGCATGATGTGCATCTGATACCTTTTTTTTTTTCCAACGACTAAAGAAACTATATTCTTGTCCCAAAAACCTTGCCTATATTCCTCAAAGTATCCTATCTTTGTCCATCCATGGCCAAGTACCTTATACACTCATACACTTGCACACATCATAACACAAACTATTATCGATACCAAAACCATGCTTCCGCACAACATCAAATACTAATAGTAGTATTGGGGCCTCAGAGCTCAAGAATGCACAATTAATATCAGAGCTAGGCACGTTCTGATGATTTTGAGGTTTGTTGTCACCATCCTCAACTAAAATCAAAGCCGGAGCCGAAGCCAAAGCCGGAGCTAACAATTATAACTAAGAGCATTTTGATGGCTCAAGAGTAGCAGGGATATAGAGTTTATTCTCTTTACTCCCCACGCCCTCATAACAATGGGAAGAGGCACTATTTATAGAGCCTCTCCTCCGACACCAAGACAGCTCTCTGCCACTTTTTTTACAGCAACGTGTACTCTTCTCAACCATAGAAGTTACTTTGTTGACCACAAATAGCGACTAAGGTTTTTCTTCTTCAACGTGGCTTCTTGCTGCCCATATTCGTAATTTCCGGCATATTCTTCTTTGCAAGTTGGTCTTCTCACGTTCTTCAGCTGTCTGCAACTCTTGCAAGATTCATCCGGTAGTTTCTAGATTGTTCAGAAAAAATGGATTACAAATTCCAACACTCTTTCTCGTTTCATTTCGCGGTATTCCAAGTAAATCTTTTAATGTCTCAAACGTACCTTGAAATTCTTCTGTAGTTTGTCATATGCCTTTTCATGGTCTTTGTTTCAGGATCCCTTGCATCTTCTTGTTGGAACACTTGCACTTGCCTTCAAATCAGCATGACTTTCTTCAACGATGTCTCATATGGCTTGAGCCATCAAAATGCTTCTAGTTGTAGTTGTAAGCTCATGCTCAGACTCTGGTTATGGCTCTTGTAGGCTCCGGCTTCGGCTCTGGCTCTGTTAGCTCTCGCTTGGGCCTGGGGTTTAAGGATGGTGAGGACAAGTGCCCAAAACTATCCGACGTGACGAGCTTGATACCAATTGTAGAATTTGGAGCTCTAATACCATGCTGATTTTTAGAAATTGCACAGAAGCATGGTTTTGATCTCAATGACAATTTGTGGTTTCAATGTGTGCAAGTATATGTGTGTAGGACATATTTGATAGAGGATAGACAAAGGACAAGGTAGGATAACTCAAGGATATGGTCATGGGATAATGGAAAAATAGTTTCATTAGTTGAACAAAATAGTTGTACAAATATAGTTGACGGATGAGTATCGGTGGAGGAGCTAAAGATGTGGAGTTTATTGTAATGCTCCCCGCACCTCTCTCTTTACATGAATGAGTTTGGGCCTTTTTATGGGCATTTCCACCGATTAAGAGTGCGTTTGGCAACTATTTATTTTCGAAAGCTAAGGGCGCGCGCATGATAATCATTATGTTTCTATCCAAAACTAGTTTTCTATTCCCGAGAACAGGTTTGGAACAGAAACCCGTTTGGTAACGCAATTCTATTTTTTTATTTCTAGAATAACTTTTTATTCCATAACTGGTTCTGGACCAAAAATCAGAACAAAAAAAAAGTAGGTTTTCTGTTTCTTGACGAGAAATGAAAACCATTTCTAAAAAAACCTGTTTTCTCTCTTCAAAACACATCTCTTCCTAAATTTGGCTCCGGTCTGACCTGGTCAAATCAGTCCGAACCGGTTTGGTCCGGTTTATTCCCGACGGGAAAATAAAAAAAATTCTAAAAAAAATTGGAAAAATCATAAAAAAATTTAGAAAAATCAGAAAAAAAATCAAAAAATTCAGAAAATTCATAAAAGAAATTAGAAAATCCGGAAAATTCCTAAAAATCTCAAATTTTTTTTTCCAAAAATCCATAATAATTGAAAAATTCCAGAAAAATTCATAAAAATTTCCAGAAAATAAAAAAAGTCAGATTTCGGGAAAATAGGAAATTTGGTGAATTTTTTCAAAAAAAATCAAAAGTTTCAAAACTTCACAGAATGGTTTAAATAACTTGTGGCCATCCATTTTGAGTGAAATTTTAATTTTTTGAGGTGCCCAAATGATATTTTTGAAGACTCCTTAGTTTAGGTATTTAAAAGGGGTTTTAACCCCTAAAAAACCCTAAAAGGGGTTTAACCTCCAAAATGGGTCTTTACCCCTAAAAAACCCTAAAACCGTAAAAAAACAACACGATCCTTTGAATGAATAAGCCTTTAAGGCTTTACTAGGGTTTGGGTATTTTGATTGATTTTCATTTTAGAGACCATTTCTAAAAAAATGGATTTCTGTTCCGAGAAATATAAATTTGTGTTGTTAACAAACGAGTTTATGTTCCAGGAAATAGAAGTTTTATGTTGTTATCAAACGGGTTTCTGTTCCAGAAATAGAAATTTTTTGTCATTATCAAACGGGTTTCTTTCCTCATAAACTCATCCTTGGAACAAAAATAGAAAAATCTATTTCTGTTCCAGGAATTGTTTCTGGAACAAAATGGTTATCATTCGCGCTCTGATTCTGTTCAGAAATGATTTTTTTTTATTCCGTACCCGGGAATAATTCTAAACATTTGAAGGCATTTGGTAACTGCCCAAAATTTCTATTCTTGGAATAGAAAAAGAACAGAAATGCGTTTGGTAACTACACAAGATTTCTTTTCATTAATAATATTTTGAATTTTTTTATATTTCTTTCTCTTTTTTTTTCTTTTTTTTTCCTTCCCCTTCCTTCGTCATGGCCGGTCGCCGGCGGTCGGCGGCAGGCCAGGAATGAAGAAGAAGAAGAAACCAAGAAGAAAGAAGAAAACCAAGAAGAAGAAGAACAAAAAAAAAATTTCTTTGTCATTTTTTATTCTTGTTCCTAGAATCAAGAAGCTTCTTGATTTTGTTTCAAAACTGATTTTGGGAATAAATTTTTGCAAATTTGTGCCTGGGAATAAAAAATTTACCAAACGGATTTCTGTTTCAAAATTGATTCTGTGAATAAAAAAATAAAAATAGTTACTATTTGCTAACTTGCCAAACGCAACCTAAATACAACCGCCGTAGAGGATTCTGGACTTCTCTTTATAGCTCATCTCTTTGACAACTTCTCAATTAGATTCCTCTTGAATGCTGTCCACGTAGTCTTCAAATCGCAGTCACAATTGACTTCTCTTTGAACATTTGAGAATTTGGTGGACTCTTCTAGACAGCTTCCTTTTTCCGCCCATATACCATATTTTTTTGTAAGATTTTTCCCAGTAGCAAATGCTCATCCTAGAAGACTCTAGAAATTGGATAAAAAATTCCAATAAAAGGGAAAGTGAGCATGCATTATGCATCGGTCAGATAGTCTTCCACAGAAATCTATTACTTGTCATTTCCTATGATGACCTTTCAGCGAAACAACTGCAAGTGGTCGGCCTACTTCGGTGCCCCCACCTTTTTATGCTAGTTTTAGCAACACGAAGTTCCTTCCGGTCGATTTGAAATACTTATGATCAAAGCGAGAGTCTTAGCCGAATTACTTTGTAATGTTGTTAGGTCTTGTGTGGAGAAGCGTGAGCAATCTGGATGTATGGGGGACCGATGCTTCCACCATTGTAAATTCTCGTCTGATGGGAAGCCTATCGATGGTCCATGGTATATGCAAGAACCGCTATATTTGCGGTGGAAGCAATGGGACTGCCAAAGTGATTGCCGCTACCACTGCATGCTCGCAAGAGAGGAGGAAAGAACGACTCTCGGTGGCAAGCCTATGAAATATCATGGAAAGTGGCCTTTTCTTCGTGTTTGTGGCATCCAGGTTTTCCCTACTGATTCTTCGAAGCACTACTTCTAAGCATTTCATACACGTAGATGGATCTTAACCCCAGTGTATTCAAGCTTGTTATGACAATTTTTCTCGTCTTTGTTAGGAGCCTGTTTCTGAGGCACTCTCTGCCCTCAACCTTTCCTTGCAATTTCATGGCTGGCTATCCTTTTTCATCCTTTTGTACTACAAGCTACATTTGAGACCAGACAGGAAAACTTACTATGAATATACTGGCTGGTGGCACACATACGGCACCTTTTTCATGGTTTTGGAGTGCTGTCTTCCACAGTCGGTAAGATATAGTATTCATCAATAGATTTATGTCTGTGTTTTATTCTTCATGTGTAGACGATGGCTCTTGACAGAGCTTCAGGCTCCAAAAAGCTTCTTAATTCCACAGCTCCGGCACTCTTCCCCCGAAAGCAGGATGCGCGTCTAATTTTGTCAAAATTAAGACAACCTTAAAATATTTATGCTTGTCACTAGACTAATTTTTCCTTTTCTTTTTAATGGATACTATTATCGGTACTAGATACTAGATACGAGCTTTCTAATTTTACTGTTATTTTTCATCTTATCATGACCAAAATTGCTAGCTATTAAATGCTCTGCCACTTACTTTATACGAGGAAGGCACAAGATGTAAAATAAGAACAAGCTGCTTTAAATGATATCTTGGCATATGAAATTCTCTGATGACTTGTGGACATTGAGACCTCTTGTTGGACAAAGTATATTCATAATGCATCTCTATAACTCAATAATGCATCTCATTTAACTTGACTATACCTATCCAATCAATGTCCCTTCCAAGGACATATTGCAAGTATGGTGCAATTGTTTTTTTGTGATTTGGCTCAGCTAACATGTGAATTTGACTAGAGATGTTGAGTTGACTGAAAAGCTGGACTACTCCTCTGCCGTGGCATTGCTTGGATTTTCCCTCATTTTGGGTTTTACTAAGAGCTTTGAACGTAAGGGCTGAGGCTTCCAGGGTCATGCTTTCTGCCCCGATTATTGCATTTGTGACGACTCATATCCTGTATCTGAACTTTTACCAATTCGATTATGGTAAATAACTTTCTCTAAAAGTTCCTTCTTCTCTCTTTGTCACTAATCACATTGAAGGTTTGGAATTATGAATAACCATGCTTGTATGGGGTCCAGTGTACATTCATACGTGATAACCAACTCACAGATTACTGAAAATACCATATTTCTCTCAATCACACCTGCTCATTAGACTGGTGAAGCCTGCCTCTGCCATGGGTTCTAGGCTGTAATTCCTGTTGAACTAAGACCCAGGAAACTAAATAAACTACATCCTGGGCCAAGGTCGGTCACTTGCATAGATAGTCTCATGGTCAGTTTGACAGTGGGTCGAGTCTGGCAGGCAAGACATTATAACCAACGATCTTATTCACTGCATCATTTGAAATAGGATTTCTAGTACCATCACGCAGGGCACAGTGAGTACGAAATCTGGGAAATGGCAGTGATCTAATTGATGATATTGCATGTTGGAACATGAAGGTCTGCGTGGTCATGGGAATTACTCAACTTCTTATATGGGCAATTTGGGCAGGTGTTACCCGCCATCCTTCACGTTGGAAGTTGTGGGTGGAGGTTTGGCCCTGCTATTGGAAATATATGACTTTCCCCCCTACATGGGTTTTGTGGATGCTCATGCCCTTTGGCATGCCACCACCATTCCTCTTTCTTACCTCTGGTGGAGCCTCATCATGTTGAGTTGAGGACAACAATTCTCCTAAAGAAGGTGAAGTAGACTTTGCCGTAAGACGCACGCCTTAATCAGATGGCGAATTGTGTCAGTTACGTGGATTGCTCTACCCAATTGTTTCATTGGATTTCCCTCTTATCTGATGGTGTATATGCTTTGCTGTACGTGAAATGCTTGATTTCCATAGAGGGGTCATTTGCGTTCTGTAACTTTCCTTTATCTATGAGCTCTTTGAGAGATCAATTTTGCACGAAACGGGTCGTTCTGTACCCTCGTAATGGGCCCGTATGCATATGCTGGACTCCTCCTTTAGAATTTAGCCGAGAGCAAAAAGGACCTGCACCTAAAGAACCCATACAAATTTCATGGGCGCACTTTTGCCTTATACAAGATACATTCGAAGATCAAACTGCGTAGTCTGAAAACTTCTCTATTATTCATTATGACTCGGCAGTTTCTTTATTAAACTATATGCAATGCCCGATGTTACAGTGAACCTCAGCCTACTCTATTCTTCGTTTCACCTTCCTATCCGCGCTACCGGTGGCCCAACATCGGAAAAGTTGTGCTTTATCGATATGCTATTTATCTAAGGAAACGCCACAAATTGGCTTCCGAAAACATCTTCTGTTTTCATACCCTTCACCTTGTATCCTCACGCTTCTAAGTACGGCATCAAAGTCGTCCCTAACGACAAAAACTGCAAGTGAAATTGAGAAGTGATTAGATGGAATTAGGGGTAAGCGATTTCAGGTTCCGTACAGGTTTCGGGAACTTACTTATTGAAGCATGTTCCTCATTTTTAGATCTTAGAATCTACTTGCATCCCCTAAAATCTGGAATCTACCCAATCACAAGTTCCAGGATCTACCGAGGTTCCATCTCTATTATTAATTGAACGATTGCAGTTAAACATCACATTTTATGCCCACCATTTGCTGCTACAATTTACTTATCATGATTTATATTTAGACATACTAAAAATATGAAACATTAACAAAGTAAAAGTCTCAGTTGTAAAATGGAAGCTCAGATTAGTGATTCAAGATTGTATACTTATCATCGGATGTCATAAAAAACCGCAAGATTGCACGAAAACATTAGACAAAAAAAAAATACAAAAACTTGTTCCAGGTTCTAGGTTATAGGCTGCCCGTTGAAACATGTTCCATAATTTTTTGAACCTGAAACCTATCATACATGCTTTGGAATCTTGAATTGGATCCGTGGAAACCTATCCGATTGAAGGTTCCAGGTTCTACCGAGGAACTATGCTTACCCCTAGATGGAATGGCTCCATAATGACATGTACGCATCCAAATTCCCGTCGTCCTCTCCGCCATATCCATCTCCGCCGCACTGTGGGGGAGGCAAGAGCATCCCCTCCGCCATATTTGCAAGCAGCCCCGGCATCCCGAAGATGTCCTCATCGTCATATGGCACTCCCTCTTCTGAACGCAACTTCTTCTCGTCCCCGGACATCGCATCCTTGGACACTGCCGGCCCGAACCCTTCTGCGGCCTTGGCTGCCGCCTTCTGTATGTCCTTGGTGTCCGCCGATGCCGGCACAGGCAGCCTCCACACGGAGTCTGCGAAGTTGAGGCAGGCGGACCTGCCCCTCAGCGCGAGCGCCGCCACATCGTGCGCCCTTGCCGCCATCTCCACGGTGGGAAACGTGCCGAGCCAGATCCTCGACTTCTTTTTGGGCTCGCGGACCTCGCAGACCCACTTGCCCGAGCTGCGACGCCGCACCCCACGGTACACGGGGTGGCGCGTCTCCTGGACTTTCTTCCTCCCCGCACGCTTCTTCGGGTGATGCGATGCGAGGAGCACCTCCTCGTCAGAGAAGTTCCCCCTGAGCACCGCCATTGCCGCGCTCCTGCCATCGGACAGCGGCGACCATGACGAGGACGGCTCGGCAAAGTCGAAGCAGCGGTAGGAGTTGGGATCGGAATAGGAAGAGAAAGGGTCCATTGGAGCAGGTCTGCAGTGGGCAAGGGTGATAAGCTGTTGAGCGAGCGAAGTGGATAATGGGGTAGGGCTGTTTATATGAGAGATGAAGGTGGAGTAGTGATGAATTAGGACGGAGTGGTTCCATATTTATACATATGTGAAGAAGCGTGGGGATTGTTACCACTTGGGGAGCTGGACACGGGAAAAAGAGGATACAGGCTGGATGGATTCTCGGTTCCTTCCTACGGAGCGGGAAGGACGCAGAGAATCTGAGTGAGTCTGGGACTTTGAGGTGAGTAGGAGGGTGGTGGTGCCAAGTTGGGTGCGATTCAGTGTGCGACACGTGTGGAGCGGTGGGGTAGGGTTTGTGACGTGGCAAGTGGATAGGGGTTGTGGGCTGATATCTTTTGTCTTCTTTTTGAGGTTTGACAGAGTAAAAAGAAGGCGGGGGGCACTTTCTGTTTTTATTGGAGTGAACCGAAGAGAGGAAGCGGGAAGGAGGAGCTGTCAAGGTCAAAGGTCCATATTTTTTGACGCCACTCGTCCCACTCGGACAAGTTCGTCGGTTGTACCCTGTCAAAATAAGACATAATGGGTCATAAATGAATTAGTTATAATCAGTAAATAAATCAATATAAATATAATATCGATATTAAATGGATTATAAATTGATCATAAATGAATTTACAACTTATTTAAACTCAACTCATATATCTTACTTTCACTCAATCTCGTGCTCACTCACCCCGTACTCTCATTTTAGTCTGAGTATGAGTTATTCTAAATTGAGTTAAATATGAAAGTGTTTTAGCAATATGAGTTGGATTGAGTATGGATTGTGTATGGATTGGGTCGGGTATCAGTCATTAGATTTGTATTATATGGAAATGGATGAAAACGGTTTAAATGAGTCTATTTGGGTCGGATCATTTTTTACCCGATCCAAACCCGACTCGACCCACCCGTTTGACAAATCTAGTTGTACCTTCTGACGTATGGCTCCCCCGATTCACCATCCAACTCGATTTTGTTCTGCATCTCTCTCTCCTTTATTTTTCCAATCTTTGTTCAGGTGCTTCAGAGAGCTTTTTGGGGAGTTTTGGCTGTTGTATTTGAAGGGTCTTTACTACATTGTTTTGAGCAACGGGGACTAGGTATACAGTGTTTTGATTTTTGAGGATGGGTGGCTGGTTCAATATGTTTGAAACTGATGTCCATTACTGTACATTGTTCGTTGGGGACGAATCTGTTCTCTAAGAGTCTGGAGAATTTGGAATGGTCAACATAAGATCGTAGCAGATCAGTGGGAGTTGGAGGAAATGAGATTGGTAGTGGTCATTGGAGATGAGATGCGGATTGATCTCGAATAACAAGTGCTGGTTATCTTCAAGTGCTGAAAATAGAGATAAAAGTTGTTTGATAGTAATTGAATACGAACGGCTAAATTTTATCAATTTCTTACCAAATAGAATGATGGCCGTTATGGGTAAGTTTTAGCAACAGTTGTGGTAATTCAGCGGCTCTGGTGACTGCGAAGGTTGATGGCTGGTGAAGGTGGTGATGATGGTAGCGGTGGCTAATTATTAATGCTGACATAGATACTTAATCTCACCAGTGCGGTGTCGATCATTCTCCATAGTGATCTATATGAGTCTCCCTTTAGTCTTTGACCATGGAAATATTTTCCATTGATTGGTTTGTTGAGCCAAACATCGCAAAATGATACAAAATGTGTAGAATTTGGAGCTGTGATACCATGTTGATTTTTAGAATTGCACGAAAGCATTGTTTTGATCTCAACGATAGTTTGTGATTTGAATGCGTGCAAGTGCATGCGTGTAGACAGGCGAAGCATTACTGGATTTATTAGAGGAGGTTACTTTCTCTAGTCATGATACTAATCAAACATGGCATAGATTTCTCTCTCTCTCGAGACCTTTCTCTGAACAAGCTCGGCCAGCACAAGACCAATTGTGTCGGGCTGTACCGCGCTTGGGCCAACATAACCCAATGACCATTGCTAAGCTGTAAGTACATGAATATCAAAAGAATAGACTATAGTACATATATTAAAAACATTGAAATCATTAATCATGTGGATCTCGTCACGGAATTCATATTATCAATAGCAATTTAGATGAACTTGGTCCGCATGATGTGCATCCGATACCTTTTTTTTCCAACGATGTCCCAAATGTCTTGGGCCATCAAAATGCTCCTAGTTATAGTTGTTAGCTTTGGCTCCGGCTTTAATTTTAGTTAAGGATGGTGATGACAAACGCCCAAAACGATCCAAACGTGTCTGGCTCCGATACCGATTGTACATTCTTGAGCTATGAGGCTCTAATACTACCATTAGTATTTGATGTTGTGCAGAAGCATGATTTTTGTATTTATGATAGTTTGTGTTTTGATGTGTGCAAGTGTATGAGTGTATAAGGTACTACTTGGTCGAGGATGGACAAAAATAAGATATTTTGAGAAATATAGGTAAGGCTTTTGGGACAAGAATATAGTTTCTTTAGCTGACAGAAATATGGTGTTACATAATTGTGGGAGGAAATGTTGGCGTGGGTGAAGGAGTAGAAGGATATAGAGTTTATTCTCTTAACTCCCCATGCCCTCATAACAACGAGAAGAGGCACTATTTATAGAACCTCTCCACAGACAACAAGACAGCTCTCTGCCACTTAATTTTACAGCAACGTGTACTCTTCTCAACCATAGAAGTTACTTTGTTGACCACAAATAGTGACTAAGGTTTTCCTTCTTCAACGTGGCTTCTTGCTGCCCATATTTGTAATTTCCGGCATATTCTTCTTTGCAAGTTGGTCTTCTCACGTTCTTCGGCTGTCTGCAACTCTTGCAAGATTCATCCAATAGTTTCTAGATTGTTCAGAAAAAATGGATCACAAATTCCAACGCTCTCCCTTGACTCATTTCGGGGTATTCCAAGTAAATCGCTTAATGTTTCAAACGTACCTTGAAATTCTTCTGTAGTTTGTTCCGTGCCTTTTCACGATCTTTATTCCAGGATCCCTTGCATCATCTTGTTGGAACACTTGCACTTGCCTTCTGAAGGAAACAGATTCCTAGAAATGCGGAAAGACGGAAACAAATTCCTAAACGACATAAAACTCGAACTAACGAGTATCGCCCAAAAAACGTATACGAAAAACGTACCCAGTATAAACTTGAATCACTGATCGTTAAAGTACATCACCAATAGGGACGTACCTTGTTTTCCACGGATTAAATGTTTCTTTTGCAACGTCGAGAGAGAGAACAATCCTTAGATCGTTGAACAAAATCCCTTCTTCTTTGTCCTTTTGTGAGAATAAGTTTCTGATAATAAAAAATGCAAAACCCACACACACTCTTACGTGTGTTCTCACTTTTTGTGTCTAGACAATAACTGCCGAGTGCAGTTATTTCCTTTCATAGGCTGGGTTAGCCCATCATGAGCGGCCCATTATTCACAAAGAAAACCCATCATCTCCCACTCGCATATGGTGGGCTAAACATTAACTCTCTCTTTTATGCAATGTTCATATCAACAAATAATCCGTGCGACCAGCATACTTCGAGAGCTCGTTGCTATGCATCTGTTAGGAACACATAGCAGCTCAAATTGGGCATTACGTTATCGAGTAGATATAGTATGTAATACCCTAGATCAATCAGTCACATTTATATCTCTCTTGATCTCTTTTAGTATCTCGTATATTGTATTCACAACTATGATTTACTCAAAATTATAATTGGTCGACCTGTGAATACAAAAAAAATATGACATCACAAATAAATTGATCTTCCCCTTTCCTTAATCCTCTCCATTTCAGTTCAATTCGCTTTTCTAGAAATGCCCCATTAGATCGAATTATTCATGATCATTGGCAACACCCTAAGATAGCGAACACTGAATAGAAATTTTGAGAATAAGTTAGAGTCATGAGGGCATTTAATGAGGAACTCTTATCCTCAAGAGTCTCACACGGCATAAAGTTGAGATCAAAAACTTTTGCCACTCTTATAGGTCGTCTTATGCATACGTAATATGAAATACGTATTACGGCATTCTCTCCTTCCCCTAGGAGCGCATGTCTTTATACTTAATGCCGTACAGATGATAGTTTAGATATACTTAATATCTAGACTTGAGTTCACGTATCTGCTCTTTTAAAGAATTCATCAGAACTCACATCTGGCATCATTGACAGATAAAGTAAAATATGTGGGTTATTTTACCTTCGGACATAGTAAATATTATATCCTCATCTTAATATTCAGTTAAGGCGACATTTGTAATTTAAGCTTGAGCTCTCAATTATCACCCAAATAATAAGCTTAAAAAAAATTGTCTCATCTCTATTTATCGCACAGTAAATAGAGGCGATTACCCGTGTAAGTGGGCTAATCTCATCTGTCAGACATACTTTCTCGATATAATGCACTAAGCATTGAGATGCATAAATATTAAATAAATTCATAGGCATTAATAATGAGAGAGCAACTTCATTAAATGTGAACACTCAGGGAAAAATACAATATTCAGTACATCACTTTCTATGCAGTCCCAGAGATTTTACATGACCATAGAAAACGTCTCTTGGAATTGGCTTCGTCATAGGATCAGCTATCATTTTTTTGCGTAGATATGTACTGCAAGTTCACATCTTTTCGTGCAATCATATCCTTGACAAAGTTATACTTGGTATCTATATGTTTGGTCTTGCCATGATATTTCGGATCCTTGGTGTATGCTATCGCTACTTGACTATCACTATTGACTAACAATGAGTTTTCAGCATTCTTAGCAACACCTAAATGATCCAAAAATCTCTTAAGCCAAACACCTTCTTATACTGCTCCTGACAACGCCACGAACTCAGCTTCCATCGTGGACAATGCTATACATGTTTGTTTCTTACTGCTCCATGATATGGCGCCATTATTCAGTAAGTAAACAAAACCAGAGGTAGATTTCCTTTAATCTAAATCTCCTCCCCAATCAGCATCTGAGTAGCCTTCAAGTCGCAGATCCTTGCCTTGATAACTCAGTGAATAATTAGCAGTACCCTTTAGATACCTCATGATTCTTTTTACGGCTTTTCAATGTGCTTGACCTGGATTGGATTGGTACCTACTTACCATCCCAACTGCAAAACATATGTCAGGTCTTGTACACATCATAGCGTACATTAAACTTCCAATAGCACTAGCATAAGGAACACATTTCATTTGTTCCTTCTCTTGTGGAGTCTTAGGACACAATCTATGGCTCAATCCTTCACCTTTTGTAATAGGAGTATCCATGGGTTTACAGTCTTGCATACAAAATCGTTCAAGAACTTTATTTATATAAGTCTCTTGCGAAAGAGACAATAATCTCTTGGAACGATCTCTTGAAATCTTAACTCCAAGAATATATGCAGCCTCACCCATATCTTTCATCTCAAAATTGGACGATAACCAACTCTTAATAGTATTAACCAACTCCATATTGCTTCCGGCAATCAGTATATCATCAACATATAATGATAAAATCACAAATTGATCTTTGGATCTTTTGATATACACGCAATGATCTTCATCAATCATTGTAAAATCAAACGCCACTATGGCATTATGAAAACGTATATACCATTGTCTCGAAGACTGCTTAAGGCCATATATCGATATTAGAAGTCGATATACTCTTTGTTCTTGGCCTTTCACAACGAAGCCTACTGGCTGCTCCATGTAAATTTCTTCTTCTAATTCTCCATTTAGAAAAGCAGTCTTTACATCCATTTGATGTAATTCAAGATCCATGCTTGTCACTATTGCCAGAATAAGGCGAATTGAGGTAAATCTCACTACAGGAGAGAAAGTTTCTTCATAATCAATTTCTTCCTATTGATTATACCCTTTCGCCACTAGGCGAGCTTTATATCTTTCTATTGAGCCATCGGATTTGCGTTTTATTTTGAGAACCCATTTATTCCCAATAGTTTTGCGTCCTTCTGGAAGATTAACCAGTTCCCAAACATGGTTTGACTTTATTGACTCCATTTCTTCTTTCATTGCAATCATCCATTTTTCTTTGTTAGGCAATTTAGAGCCTCATTTACATTCCTTGGCTCGTCTTCATTTTGTGGAGCGATCATGAAAGTTTCCCCTTCAATGTCAAAACGTCGTCGGGGAATACTTTTGCGACTTGTTCGCCGTATGGGAAATTGTACACGTGGTATATCATTCTCCATTATGCTCCCACTTGGATTAGATAATGACGGAATCGTCTCATCAAAAGGTTGCAATTGAGATTGAGTCGAATTCAATTCCTTACTTCTCACATTGCTTCCACTTGGACGAACTTTATCGATTTCACTATCAGGATCCAAAGTTTCAAATAGTGAGTAGTCATCACCTATTTCGCCCTTCTTAGGAAACTCATTCTCTAAGAATGTGACATCTCGTGATTCAAATTCAGTAATACTCCCACTTTCTTGCTCACCTATAAACACATACCCTTTCGAGTGCTCTGAGTATCTAATAAAAATACTCTTCTTGCCTCTAGGACCCAGTTTTCCATACTTGTGAGAGGGCTCGTGAGTATAAGCAGCACAACCCCAAGGTTTAAGAAAACTTAAATCGGGTTTTCTACCTGTCCATAACTCATACGGAGTGGAAGTAACTGATTTAGAAGGCACACGGTTAAGTACATAAGCAGCAGTTAACAAAATATCACCCCAAAAAGTGATAGGTAAGTTAGCTTATGCCATCATAGACCTAACCATTTCTAGTAGGGTTATGTTTCTCTTTTCCGCAACACCATTTTGTTGAGGAGTATAGGGAATAGACAACTGTCTTTCTATTCCCTTTTCATCACACAAATTTCTGAACTCATCAGATAGATATTCTCGACCTCGATCGGATCTCAATGCTTTTATTTTCTTATCTAATTGATTTTCCACCAAGTTCATAAATATCTTGAAGCAACTAAAAGCTTCAGATTTATGAGAAATCAAATAGACATATCTGAATCGAGTATAATCATCAATAAATGTGATAAAATAAATAGCCCCATATCTAGCCCTCACATTCATTGGACCACAAATGTCATAATGGATTAACTGCAAAGGAAATTCAGCTCTTGTTCCTTTTCTAAATGGTTTCCTTGTTGTTTTCCCAGCTAAGCAGTGTTCACAAGTGGGCAAATCGACTTTTTCAATATTGCCCATTAAGCCTTCTTTGGCTAATCTATTCATTCGTTGTTGGCCTATATGGCCAAGCCTAGCATGCCATACGTTCACATCATTGTCACACGAAGTAGAAGACGTGAAGTGGGAATAACAAATATTGACATTTACATAATCAACATCCAGTACAATAAAACCATCTAGAAAATAACCACAACCATAATAACTCGTACCTAAATACAAGTCTACACCATTGTTATGGAAGTTCAAATTAAAACCAAGTCGAATCAACACTAAAAACAGGACACTAAGTTCACGAATTTCCGGAGCATATAATACATCATGTAGGAACAAAGTGCGTCCACCACGCATAATTAATCGGTGCCAATTCCTTTAACCTCAGCTCGAGTTGTTCCCTACATAAATCCATTTAGTTCCCGTTGGAACTCGTCGAATTCTACGAAGGCTTCTCTATCCTTCGCTACATGGTCCTGTTGCTCCCGAATCTACAGTCCACAAAGGATTTGATTCAAGTTAAAAAATACAGAACTTGACACATAGGCAAAGTTCTCAAGAATGCAAGGAGTTTACCTTCTTTGGCTCGCCGCAATCGCGAGCGAAGTGGCCCTTCTTGCTACAGTTGTAGCATTTCACCCTCGACATCTTCTTAACAAAAGAACGCTTTCCTTTGTCTTGTTGATTAAATTTTGGTTTCTTACCCGAAGAACTTGTTCCCTTGCCTTTCCATTTCATAAACCTTTCGACACGCTTGCGCTTGGAGCTCGAAGCCCCATGTGAGCTAGAACCAGCATAATAGATATCGGTTTCTGGTTTCGCCGCCAGGAGGCGATCCTCTTCTAACTCAAGATGGCGCATGGCATCTTCAAAGGTTTTGATGTTTTCATTATGGGTCAGGTGCACCTTCATGTGCTCCCAGCTTTGAGGCAAGGAACGGATCATTGCTAGCACTTGCTATTCATCAGTCAGAATGTGTCCAGCATCCTTCAGCTCAACAATCATGTTCGACATCTTTCTCAGGTGTTGTTTCATGGACTGACCATGAGGCTTCTTATACGAGTCAAACCTTATAGTGAGCTGTCTCAGCTTGGTCACTGACGTATGACCAAATCTCGCTGCTAATACTTCACACATTTCCTTGGCATTCTCAAAACGCCTGAACTCTTGCATAATATCATTCTCCATGCTACTCAGCAACGTGATGCGAGCAAGCGAGTTCTTCCTCTTCCAAACAGCAAATGCATCTCTGTCTCTCTTTATGCTGTGCAGTGTTCCCATCATCAAGTTCTTCCATAAGTTGATTAAGAGCTTCTAGTGCTTCTTGTTCTTCTAGCACATATTGGATTTTCATGTTCCATATTTCATAATTTTCGCCGTTCAATTTCTCTCCTTTGTTCAATTCAGCCACTATGTTCTTAGTTGCTGAAGCCATGGTATCTGAACATTTCAGATATATAGCACGAATTATTAATGCCACTCATTTATACATCAGTTTTACACAAACTGATTATATTAATGAGTAATTTCACATAGTTTTTAGATTTGAAAGTTCACTATGTTCCCAATCATCATCTAAAAATCTTAATATGAAATTATCGTTAATATAATCATTAAGGTAAAATTACGTTCTTTAAAGTTACTAAAACTTTTAGAACTCCCACTCAACCACATGATTTTAATAAGACAGATATTATAATAGAATAGTACCATAAACTATTCATAACAGAAAATATCCATCAATATCTCTTTATTAAAAAAAATATTTACATAAGGAACCAATCCAGCATAGGAAAGAAAACATCAACATCAACATGAACAGTAATATCCACCTAGGATATCTAAAACCAAACTAAGATTAAATAAAGCCACCGATTCCTAACTTTCTTAAGAACTGGGAAAAGACTTAAGAAATTTCTCATTGTCAAAACCCTTTGAAAGATCGATGGTCGTATCGGGCAGCCATGAAAAGACTGTTGTAAATCCCTTGGGTTTTTCCCATGGTGCATTCATTCTGCGCCAGGATGAATTCACCCCAAGGGTCGACGTCTTTTTCGCTCCAATCCTTATGAATTCCTTAAGAAAATCCAAAGCAAACTTTTTGTATTCTGGAATCCATGGATCACCCCCGTCATCCCATCCACCATCTTCATAAAATATTATCTCCGGACCCTTCCACAAATCATCAATCAGCATTTTCCACTCATAAGGAAGAGTGGTTCTTAGGGCATCAATCTTTTCTGAATCCAACATATGGTATCCATTCGAGATTATAGCCCGCATCATCTTGTTAACCTTCATGATGTGCATTTCCATGTGGCATCCATCCCACCGATAGGCAGCTAAATCAGCTTTCAACTTCGCGAGTGTATTCATTTGTTCATCCATCCTCACAACTATCGATGTGTGTCAATGGCGCGCCTTTGTTCCTGCAACAAATGCAGAACAATTAAAGGATTAACACATAATCCATTGAACATCACAATAGACATTCCAGTATGCACATATCGTTGCCAAGAATGCTCCAGTTAGAGCTCCCACGATACTATTCAACCAGACAGAAACCCCCAAATATTTTTTTTTTTGGGTCAACTCTGGTCAATGCCGGTCAACGGTCAACGATGGTCAACGGTGGTCAACGCAGGTCAACGTATGACCAGTCAACGGATCGGGTCAAAATGGTCAACGGGTCGGACAACGGGTCGGATCGGAACACCCGGGTTGGGTCGGCCTGCCGGGCTGGGCCGGGCCTTTCGGCCCAAAAAGAAAACATAAAAATATAACCGACATGGCTGACGTCAGCCACGCCCACACGCGCACGCATGGCGCGTGCGGCGCACGTGTGCGGCGGTAACCGCTGCGCACATGCGACGCACGTGCCGGCGTAGCCGCCACTTGCGGCGGCGCATGGAGGCGCGTCCGGCTTCCCCCGGCGGTGTGCCACCCGTCATTTTGCTCGTATTGACGAGCACTACGACCCTATGCCTTCAAAAATAAAATTTATCGCACGAAATTTCGAGAAACGATCCCGAACAGCACGGTCGGTGTCGGTTTTCGTACCCGAGCATTCGTCGGCGCCGTTTCACGAATTCCAGCCATCAATCCGTGTAATAAGCATATTAAACGATCAGGAAATAAGAACACATGCTCTGATACTAATGAAGGAAACAGATTCCTAGAAATGCGGAAAGACGGAAACAAATTCCTAAACGACATAAAACTCGAACTAACGAGTATCGCCCAAAAAACGTATACGAAAAACGTACCCAGTATAAACTTGAATCACCGATCGTTAAAGTACATCACCAATAGGGACGTACCTTGTTTTCCACGGATTAAATGTTCCTTTTGCAACGTCGAGAGAGAGAACAATCCTTAGATCGTTGAACAAAATCCCTTCTTCTTTGTCCTTTTTGTGAGAATAAGTTTCTGATAATAAAAAATGCAAAACCTACACACACTCTTACGTGTGTTCTCACTTTTTGTGTCTAGACAATAACTGTCAAGTGGAGTTATTTCCTTTCATGGGCTGGATTAGCCCATCATGAGCGGCCCATTATTCACAAAGAAAACCCATCACCTTCAAATCAGCATGACTTTCTTCAATGATGTCCCATATGGCTCGGGCCATCAACATACTCCTAGTTGTTGTTGTTAGCTCAGGCTCAGACTCTGGTTATGGCTCTCGTAGGCTCCGACTCTGTTGGCTCTCGCTTGGGCTTGGGATTTAAGGATGGTGAGGACAAATGCCCAAAACCATACGACGTGACGAGCTCTGATACCAATTGTAGAATTTGGAGCTCTAATACCATGTTGATTTTTAGAAATTGCACGGAAGCATAATTTTGATCTCAATGATAATTTGTGATTTGAATGTGTGCAAGTATATGTGTAGGACATATTTGATAGAGGATAGACAAAGGACAAGGTAGGATAGCTCAAGGATATTGGTCATGGGATAATGGAAAAATAGTTTCATTAGTTGAACAAAATAGTTGTACAAATATAGTTGATGGAGGAGTATCAGTGGAGGAGCTAAAGATGTGGAGTTTATTGTAATGCTCCCCTCACACCTCTTTACATGAATGAGTTAGGGCCTTTTTATGGGCATTTCCACCGACTAAGTACAACCGCCTTAGAGGATTCTGGACTTCTCTTTATAGCTCATCTCTTTGACAACTTCTCAATTAGATTCCTCTTGAATGCTGTCCACGCAGTCTTCAAATTGCAGTCACAATTGACTTCTCTTTGAACATTTGAGAATTTGGTGGAGTCTTTTAGACAGCTTCCTTTTTTCCGCCCATATACCATATTTCTTTGTAAGATTTTTCCAAACTGCACTAGCAAATGCTCATCCTAGAAGACTCTAGAAATTGGATGAAAAATTCCAACAAAAGGGAAAGTGAGCATGCATTATGCATCGGTCAGATAGTCTTCCATCGAAATCTGTTACTTGTCATTTCCTGTGATGACCTTTCAGCGAAACAACTGCAAGTGGTCGGCCTACTTCGGTGCCCCCACCTTTTTATGCTAGTTTTAGCAACACAAAGTTCCTTTCCGGTCGATATGAAATACTTATGATCAAAGTGAGAGTCTTAGCCGAATTACTTTGTAATGTTGTTAGGTCTTGTGTGGAGAAGTGTGAGCAATCTGGATGTGTGGGGGACCAATGCTTCCACCATTGTAAATTCTCGTCTGATGGGAGGCCTGTCGATGGTCCATGGTATATGCAAGGACCGCTGTATTTGCGGTGGAAGCGATGGGACTGCCAAAGCGATTGCCGCTACCACTGCATGCTCGCAAGAGAGGAGGAAAGAACGACTCTCGGTGGCAAGCCTATGAAATATCATGGAAAGTGGCCTTTTCTTCGTGTTTGTGGCATCCAGGTTTTCCCTACTGATTCTTCGAAGCACTACTTCTAAGCATTTCATACACGTAGATGGATCTTAACCCCAGTGTATTCAAGCTTGTTATGACAATTTTTCTCGTCTTTGTTAGGAGCCTGTTTCTGTGGCACTCTCTGCCCTCAACCTCTCCGTGCAATTTCATGGCTGGCTATCCTTTTTCATCCTTTTGTACTACAAGCTACCTTTGAGACCAGACAGGAAAACTTACTATGAATATACTGGCTGGTGGCACACATACGGCACCTTTTCCATGGTTTTGGAGTGCTGTCTTCCACAGTCGGTAATATATAGTATTCATCAATAGATTTATGTCTGTGTTTTATTCTTCATGTGTAGACGATGGCTCTTGACAGAGCTTCAGGCTCCAAAAAGCTTCTTAATTCCACAGCTCTGGCACTCTTCCCCCGAAAGCAGGATGCGCGTCTAATTTTGTCAAAATTAAGACAACCTTAAAATATTTATGCTTGTCACTAGACTAATTTTTCCTTTTCTTTTTAATGGATACTATTATCGGTACTAGATACTAGATACGAGCTTTCCAATTTTACTGTTATTTTTCATCTTATCATGACCAAAATTGCTAGCTATTAAATGCTCTGCCACTTACTTTATACGAGGAAGGCACAAGATGTAAAATAAGAACAAGCTGCTTTAAATGATAGCTTGGCATATGATATTCTCTGATGAATTGTTGACATTGAGACCTCTTGTTGGACAAAGTATATTCACAATGCATCTCATATAACTTGACTATACCTATCCAATCAATGTCCCTTCCAAGGACATATTGCAAGTATGGTGCAATTGTTTTTTGTGATTTGGCTCAGCTAACATGTGAATTTGACTAGAGATGTTGAGTTGACTGAAAAGCTGGACTCCTCCTCTGCCGTGGCATTGCTTGGATTTTCCCTCATTTTGGCTTTTACTAAGAGCTTTGAACGTAAGGGCTGAGGCTTCCAGGGTCATGCTTTCTGCCCCGATTATTGCATTTGTGACGACTCATATCCTGTATATGAACTTTTACCAATTCGATTATGGTAAATAACTTTCTCTAAAAGTAACCCTTCTTCTCTCTTTGTCACTAATCACATTGAAGGTTTGGAATTATGAATAACCGTGCTTGTATGGGGTCCAGTGTATATTTATATGTGATAACCAACTCACATATTATTGAAAATACCATATTTCTTTCAATCACACCTACTCATTAGACTGGTGAAGCCTGCCTCTGCCATGAGTTCTAGGCTGTAATTCCTATTGAACTTAGAGCCAGGAAACTAAATAAACTACATTTCTTGCCTGGGCCAAGGTTGGTCACTTGCATAGAAAGTCTCATGGTCAGTTTGACAGTGGGTCGACTCCGGCAAGCAAGACATTATAACTAGCGATCTTATTCACTGCATTATTTGAAATAGGATTTTTAGTACTATCACGCATGGCACAGTGAGTACGAAATTTGGGAAATGGCAGTGATCTAATTGATGATTTTTCAGGTGGGAATTGAACATGAAGGTCTGCGTGGTCATGGGAATTACTCGACTTCTTATATGGGCAATTTGGGCAGGCGTTACCCGCCATCCTTCACGTTGGAAGTTGTGGGTAGTAGTGGTGGGTGGAGGTTTGGCCATGCTATTGGAAATATATGACTTTCCCCCCTATATGGGTTTTGTGGATGCTCATGCGCTTTGGCACGCCACCACCATTCCTCTTTCTTACCTCTGGTGGAGCCTCATCAGAGATGATGTCGAGTTGAGGACAAAAATTCTCCTAAAGAAGGTGAAGTAGACTTTGTCGTAAGACGCGCGCACTAATCAGATGGCAAATTGTGTCAGTTACGTGGATTTCTTTACCCAATTGTTTCGTTGGCTTTCCCTCTTATCTGATGGTGTATATGCTTTGCTGTACGTGAAATGCTTGTTTTCCACATAGGGGTCATCTGCGTTTTTTAAAAAAAAATCGATTTCTATAGGATCAGCAGTATCCTTATGTAATCATAACTTCTCATTGCTTTCTCGGGTTTTTGCTAAGAAAACTTCTTAGTTGGTCAAGACTCGAGTGCCACGTTGGTCAGAAAAGTTTCGTATGAAGAGTACTTTGAGACTATGAAGTTATGTGGTAAGTAAAGAAACTAATCTCCCTGAAGTTCAGGCATATTGCGGAGACAGGCTTTGTTGCAGAAATATCAAGTGAATGATTCAGCATGTTCCCCATTAAAAATCTTGTCGGGTGGCTTTCCAGAATCCAGAGATCCTGGCTTGTGTTAAAACTGTTGGATCCTTTGTGTTATTATTCATTGCGATAACTGTGGCTGCTTTAGGTGAACACCAATGCCCCCGAGAAGACTCATTGCCAGCTTATAACAGTCTATCATTCTTTTTTTTTTTTTTTGTTTCTTTTGCCTCGTATGATTAATAGATAGAGAGAGATTCATGAGCAGGGCAGATGCTCCTCTTCTCAGAAGAAGAAGACGGCAACCACCATTTTTTAAGGCTTGCGGGATCAAAGACAATCTGAGTCTCCCGCAAATAAAAAAACTATTTTCAATATGGATCATCATCATGTCTTCCAGATTAATGCATTTATATGGGATTGTCTTATCTACGAGTTCCGGGGGTCATTCTGTTAACTCTCGTAAAGTGGGCCCGTACGCGTTTGCAGGACTCCTCCTTTAGAATTTAGCCGAGTGCCAAAAGGACCTGAACCTAAAGAACCCATGCATATTTCACGGGCACACTTTTGCCTTATACAAGATGCATTCGAAGATCAAATTGCGTAAGTCTGAAAACTTCTCTCAAATTCTTGATGACTCGGCAGTTTCTTTATTAAATATATGCGACGCTCGATGTTACAGTAAATCACAGCCTACTCTATTCTTCGTTTGCACTTTCCTATCCGCTCTATCGGAGGGCCCAACATCAGAAAAGCTGTGCGTCATCACAAAATGGTTTCCGAAAACATCTCCTGTTTTCATACCCTTCACCTTGTATCCGCACTCGATTAAAAAAACTTATAAGTACGGCATCAAAGTCGTCCGTAACAACAAAAACTACAAGTGAAATTGAGGAAGTGATTAGATGGAATGGCTCCATAATGACATGTACGCATCCAAATTCCCGTCGTCCTCTCCGCCATATCCATCTCCGCCGCACTGTGGGGGAGGCAAGAGCATCCCCTCCGCCATATTTGCAAGCAGCCCCGGCATCCCGAAGATGTCCTCATCGTCATATGGCACTCCCTCTTCTGAACGCAACTTCTTCTCGTCCCCGGACATCGCATCCTTGGACACTGCCGGCCTGAACCCTTCCGCGGCCTTGGCCGCCGCCTTCTGTATGTCCTTGGTGTCCGCCGATGCCGGCACAGGCAGCCTCCACACGGAGTCCGCGAAGTTGAGGCAGGCGGACCTGCCCCTCAGCGCGAGCGCCGCCACATCGTGCGCCCTTGCCGCCATCTCCACTGTGGGAAACGTGCCGAGCCAGATCCTTGACTTCTTCTTGGGTTCGCGGATCTCGCAGACCCACTTGCCCGAGCTGCGACGCCGCACTCCACGGTACACGGGGTGGCGCGTCTCCTGGACCTTCTTCCTCCCCGCGCGCTTCTTCGGGTGATGCGATGCGAGGAGGAGCACCTCCTCGTCGGAGAAGTTCCCCCCCAGCGCCGCCATTGCCGCGCTCCTGCCATCGGACAGCGGCGACCACGACGAGGACGGCTCGGCAAAGTCGAAGCAGCGGTAGGAGTTGGGATCGGAATAGGAAGAGAAAGGGTCCATTGGAGCAGGTCTGCAGTGGGCAAGGGTG